GAGAGAGAGAGTGAGAGAACAAGCAGGGCAGGAGCAGAGAGAAGGGGACAGAAGATCCAAATTGGGTTCTGCGCTGACAGCAGTGAGTCCGATGTGGGGCTTGAACTCGTGAACTGAACTGCAAGATCATGACCTGAGCCAAAGTTGGATGCTCAACTGACTGACCCACCCAGGTGCCCTTAAATTTTTTTTAATGCTTATTCATTTTTTTGAGGGGGGGGGGACGGGCAGAGAGAAAGGGAGACCCAGAATCTGAAGCAGGCTCCAGGCTCTGGGCTGGGAGCATAGAGCCCCACATAGGGCTCAAACTCACAAACCGTGAGATCATGACCTGAGCCTAAGTCAGACGCTTAACCAACTAAGCCCCCCAGGCGCCCCAAGACGTGGAGGAATCTTAAATGCCTTTTACTAAGGGAAAGAAGCCAATCTGAAAAGCTACACACCGCATGGTTCTAACTATATGACATTCTGGAAGAGGTAAAACTGTGATGACAGTAAAAAGATCAGTGGTTGCCAGTGGTTCAGTGGAGATGGGGAGAGAGAGGTGAACGGTGGAACACAGGGGATTTTCAGGGCAGTGAAATTATTCTTTATGATACTGTGAGAGTTTATAACTATCATGATGCATTTGTTAAGACCGGTAGAAATTTACAGCACAAAGAATGAACCTTAATGTGTGCCAATAGCACAGTCATTTAGCAGATGGGGGGGGGGGGATGAAAGAATGCAGACTCTGACAAGAAAATCAAACTGTAACACTTGAAATTACCTCACTGAAGAAGGCAGAGAAAAGGTGCTGATGGAAGTATTTTTGGAAATGAGCAGAGACTTGTAAGACTAAACACTGTCCTCTGCTTAGTAAAGTTGTATCCCATGGGTTAACAATTGTGTTCTTGCTGTGCACATGCACTAGAATTGAACAATTAAGTAAATGAGTGGTGGATGACAGAAGCCAGGTATCTCACTGTCAGAGTGGAAACTTGCTTACCAGAAAGAGGAGGAGGCCAGAACATCCTTGTGGTGTCAGGTTACATTGTGGACACCAGCAAGAACTGAAGTTTAACTTAATATGGGTTCATGGTTACATGTAGAAATATTTGTAGATGTGTCTATGCACAGGCTAGTATGCACACATAGACTTCCTTACTCTGTCAGCTGACCAGACCTTGAAGCTGACACCCCAGTAGCAATGAGCACACCCAGTGCCCAGATCTTTGTTTCTAAGACATTCCCCAATGCAAGGAACCAGGGCTCCTTGAGGAATTACTGATTTCAGGACTGGACAGGAAATATACAAATGACCCTGGAGCATCAGAAAGTGAGTGATGTTCTCTCTGCTCCTCCCCCACTTGTGTTCTGTCTCTCTCTGTCTCTCAAAAATCAATAAATGTAAAAAAAAAAATTAAAATAGAAAGTGATGTGCAAACCCTCCCCCCGCCAAACCAAGAAACCTACCCATCCACCAACTCAACAAACAAAAACACCCCAGAATAATGGGGTCAATGGGTTATGTCAGATGGCACAGGAGCTCACTGAGAGGCTCCCAGTGGCTACAGTCAGAACAGATTGAACAACAAAATCAATAAAGTTGACTAGGGTTGTAATCAAAATACTCAGGACTCCGAACTGACGAAAATAAATTATTGCATAAATTAATAAATGGGCGAGGGGAGACATATCTCCAGTGCAAACCCCTGTTCCCACAGTGTGGGGCTCACAGCGATTTCCCTCCAAAGGGCACCGTCAACCTGGTGGCCTTTCTAGATGCCAGTGTCATGCCGGCCTCACAGCCCTTTAAGCTGTTCCCCCGCCGGCTCTGTGCCCTGCCTGACCAGCCCCCAACTGAGCAATCATGTCCTTTAAGGCCTCAGGCCATGTTTTTCTTTCTGCCCAGGGCACCCTCTTGTCCTCACCAGAGGATCCTCCCATCACCCCCTCTGCACAGACATGCTGGAGCACCAGGATGGCCAGCCTTGTCCCCCTGGGCTTTGGCCCTAGCCCCATGTGGCCATAGCCTGTGGGAGGTCTCTGTCAGAGGCTTTTTTGTTCTCTATCAATAGGGCTGGCCTCTGGCCAAAAGATCCTCAGGGGATCCCAGACCACCTGCCTAGGCTGCTCTTTCTGTAGCTCGTGGGTCGGGAGGGGGCTCCCAGACAACCTTTCTGAGAGAAGCACAGGAACCTCTCATCATTTTAAGCAAGTTTACAGCAGGTGCCCAGGATGCACCCAGCGTTTGCAGACAGAACAGACAGTGGGGATGGCCTAGAGGACCAGTTCATCCTCAGCATCTTCTGAGGCTCAGCCTGAAGGCCACGTCTCGTACAGCTTTCCCAGCCCAAGGCCCGGAGTGACAGGAGCTGCCTTTTTGTCCTCTTGCCAGGCCCACTCACTGTCTTCCAGGGCTCCAGGGGGCCCGGGCCCGAGGCAGGAGGACACAGAGGGAACCTACCTCATGCGCCCGTGAGCGCTGCACCTCTTCCCGAAACACAAGGCCCCACCTTGCTTGCATCAGGCCCCACACCCTCCTCGCTGGGGGGAAGCAGATTCCAGCCCTGGAAGCAATTGCTATCCTGTGTAGCAGGGGCTGAACCCACCAGGAGACTCAGGCAATGAGTGGCTGTTGTCCATTCTTCTCCCGCCCCAGCTCCTGCCACAGAGGGTTTGAGGGAGCTTCTAAGGAGTGCCTGCAGCATTCACAGGCACTCATACTCGCCCGGGCTGGGGGAGAGTCAGGGTGGGCAGACGGGATGAGGGACCCAACCTCTCTGGGGTCCCAGCCGTACGACGGCTTCCCAGCACTGCCTCACTGTAGCCGGCTCACTCACGGCATCACACGGCAACCACAAAAGCCATGGGACACTCCCTGGAGCTCTCTGGAACTGGCCCAGCTCGGACACGCACTGTCTCTGTCCAGAGAGACTGGCACGGGGACCCGGACACGCTTGGACATCTTGGAGGGCTGGGAGGCTGGGGCGGGATGGCCCTGGCCGGGCGCACGCGCGGGTACCTGGCCTCGGCGTGTCTCACAGTTGTGCAGGTAGCTCAGGTGGTAAATCTTCAGGTTCAACGTGCCAAAATTCAGGTACTTCAGGAAAACCTGAGACAGGGATTATAACAGCAGGAGTTTAAAACCCCAGTTTTCAGAAGGCGTTCGGGTGTGCAAGGGTGCAGAGACGCCCGGCTGCCCGGAGCAGGGCCCATACGCGGCACTGATCTCAACGCACGCAGGCCCATGGCGTGCAGGAGCACACATGCACGAGCTCTCAGAGCTAAGAGGAGGGGAGGTCTACACACAGACACCAAGAGAACACAAGCGCACCCCGCCAGCACAGGACAGACCTGGGGACGGGGTGGCCCACACACGGAGGCACCCATGGCCGCAAGGGCCCCCAACACTCACATCTTCATCTTCGCTTGTGAAGCACGGGCCGTCGAGCTTGTTCACGGCCATGATGACGGCCACGACGTCTTTGCCATTCATGATGGGTGTGGCCAGGATGTTCTTTGTCACATAATCGGTCAACTCATCAGCAAAGGAGCTGAAGTGGGGACACTGGGCAGGCAGCAAGAGGGGAGAAAAGAGAGGCAGTCAGTCTGTGGACCTGGCCCACCCTGACCCTGGGGAGGCCGGGCCTAAGCTGCACAGAGTCCACTGCCCAGGCCAGTGCTAAGACCCAGGTGCTGGCGTCGGGAGCCCAGGCAGCACAGGGAGACGTAGCCCGTGGCCTGTCCTTGTGGCTCTAGCCTGGCGCAGTCCCTATCCCTCGATTTGGAGCCAATTACCCCAGCTCTCCATCATAGACTCTGCTGAGCCCTCACAAGCCTGGATGTGGCAGGCCTGGGTCCCTCCGCACCTGCTGTCATCCGGTTAAGCAGGTCTGTTGGATACCTGTCCCAAAGCCCCTCCTAGATCAGGCCGCCCTCTCCTACCTTCACCTCCCTCTGGGCCAGCCCCCACATGCTCCTTCCCAAAAAGTGTGTTGGCTGAATAAAGAGTGAGTGTGAGTCGGGGTGGAGGGTCCCCTGGGAGTCTCCTGGGGTCATGCTCCAGCCAGCAGGTGCTCCGTGGGGTCCGTTGCCCCTATGATAAGGCATGTGTCCGCATCTGGCCCCCAGGGCAAGTCCCGCTAGCTTTAGGGTTGCTCCTCCGGGTCGCTCCTTGATTGGGAGCTGATTGACGGACTTCCCACAGGGAACAAGTGACGGAGTGTCACCAGGATGAGGTCCCCCAGGTGACTGGGACTGTCCTTCAGAGTGGATGTGACTCCAGCTCTACCCTCATACTTCCTGGTGCTCATATTTATTTACATGCGGCCCAAGTGACCAGACGCAGAGCTGCAATGGATGGCTCAGAGTTGGGCTGCTTGGGTCAGGGCCTGGGCTTGCCACCGTGTCACCTCCAGCAAGGGTGGGACAGCCCTGGGCTGCTCTCTTCACCCGTCAGCTTGGGTTGAGCGAGGCAATCTCCGTAAATGTTCCCTACATTTGGTTATTATTACTTGTTAAAAGAGCTCTTTGGGATTTACTCAAGGACTGTTGGTCCTGTGGCAGACAGAGGAGTCACTGACCCCATGTGACTTCCCGCGCCTTCTCTGTGGCTCCGCCCTCATGTGGCCCAAGGACGCTGCGTCCACTGCCCAGACTCCCTTGCATGGGCAGCTGGGCCACAGTTCAGGCCAATGGGAGGTCAGAGGAAGCCTGCTGGGGACGAGGACATCCCATGTTCTCACGAAGAGGTGCACGCGTCTGGCACCAATCTTCTCAGTTCCTCTCCTGCCTGATGATTGGAGAGGTAGCTGTCACCTGCAGCCACAAAGGGAAATCAGTACTGAGCCCCGGAGGTGGCAGCAGCGTGGGGAGTGGCACCAGCGTTCCGTGACACAAAGGGGGGTGTTCCACCTCACCCCAGGCCGAGCACAGGCACGAGCTCAGGGCCCTTTTCACGCTCCCATCCTCGGTGTTTGTGAGCTCTCCAGTTACCTTCCTGGCCACACGGCTGGGTCTCTTGGCAGGCCCTCGACTCTGCCCCACACTTTCCTTCCTGCCCTTCAGCTGTGTTCCCCTCTTCCCACCTGGGGTCCCACCAGCACCCCTGCTCCCAGGTGCCCCCCGCCATAGCAGCACCCCCACTCCCAGGTGCCCCCCTCCGTACCAACACCCCCTCTTGTTCCTGCCACACTGGGACCCTAACTCTGACGCCCGTGGCTGTAGCCTCTCCTTGTCCCTGCAGGTAGCTCGTCAGCTCTCACAACACCCTAGGTACAAGGTGGAGGGAGCCTCAGGAAGGTTCTGGCCCAGAGCTGTGCGGTCTGAGCAGAGTCACCCCAGGGCTGGAGTCACCTGCGTGCCACACCCTTGTACCCTGTGCCCAATCAGGCTCCCTGCCTGTGTCTTCTTCTCCACTGTGTCCATTCAACGCTCCCACCCCGGCTTCTCTGCTGAAGCAGACCCCACCTCACTCAGAGCCCCTACCACACTGTGGGCAGGGGGCTATGCTCAGGCTCCCAGAAGCCCTGGAACCAGAGCTTCCTGTAGCAGAGTGTGAGAGTAGGAGCAGCCCCAGCCCCACGGCATCCTAAACCTCATTCCCGAAACGTCTGCCCTCTCGTGCTCCCAGTCCAGGGGTTGGAAGCCACCCACCACCCCATGGAGGGGAACTTGGTGTCTCCTTGGCACCTCCCTCCCCCTCGGCCTCAGTGGGTCTAGGGGTCCCGTGACTGCTCGAAAGTGCCCCCAACCCTGTCCCTACTGCCCAGATCCTCTTCATTGCTCTCCTGCAGCATCTATCCATGTTCTGCACTGCTGGCCTGGTGCTGTCGCCCTCCTCCCTCTTCAGAGTTGGCCTGGCTCCTAGACCTTCCCCACAAAGCCGTGCCCCTAATGGCAGTCTAGCCTCCTTCGACCCCCCAACGGCTGGCTGCCCCAACTGGGGTCTGGATGCCTTGGCAATACGCAGGACCCTTGTGATGGACTGTTTCTGGGCCCACAGCTCTTTGGAGGGGAGTCAGAGACTGTCCCACAACCATGTCCCTTCTGCCTGGCTGCTTGCCATGAACCCTTGGGGGTCTTAGGAGCTGCAAAGTAGTGGTGGGGTGATGTTGCAGCCCTGCGGTGTCCTCCTGCCACCACACACTGGCTGTCCTAGCTGCCTGCAAGGGTTCCCTGCCCCGCTGGCACACACGACCCTCCAAAAACAGCCTCCATGCTTTTCTCATCCTGCGAGTAGGGTGCTGGAGCCTCGGACGGAGCAAGGCTCTGTCTCAGTATCCCATTTGACGACAACCTGGGTCTGGGAGCCTGACATCGGCAACGCTTAGAGCTTTGTGACACACTTAATGGAAATGTGCTTTTTGGCTGATGTGGGCTCTGTTCTCAGTTCTACCGCATCTGAGATAAAGAAGAGCCAGCACAGCCCTGAAGATTGAGGCCAGTGCTATGCCCCTGGCCCACCGGGGGACAGATTAGGGCAGGCTGTCCTCATGGAGGCGGAAGGGTCTGAAGAAGCCGAGGGCTCAGGGATAGAGGAGGCACAGGACCCAGGATGGCCATGCCAACTGACTCAGACCCTCACCCAGCACAGGCTTGGGAGGCCAGTCGGAGGACAGGCCCCTGGGGGCTGAGGGGTCTGCCTCAGACTCAAGAAGGGAGGGGTCAAGATGTAGAGAGAGAAGGAGCAGGGGAAGTCACTCAGTGCAAGCCCCCCGCACCTTTCCCCACTGCCGAATTCCTTATTTTCCTGTTAATTCAGGCTCCTGATATTCTGATGCATGGGTGACCCATTTCTTAAACGGGAGTGGAGATGAAGCTAATCCCAGAGATTACTATATTCAGGTCGCTGGACCTGGGGTTGTTTAGAGCAGATAAGTTTAAGAGGATTGCTACCACTTCCTTCCCAAGGGACCTGGGGGGACGTGCACGTGTCTGTTCGCCTCCAGGAACTAGGGGACAGAAGCTGTTTTGAGAGAAGCCCACCCTGGTGGGCAACCCCCTCTAGATTCCTTCACTGAAAGTGGAAGAGGCTGGTCCAGCTCAGGGCTCGTGCTTGTCCCTCTCAGAGGCGAGAAAGGAGAAGAGGGGAGAAGGCAGTGGCTCCCATTCTGCCCCAGCGGCCTCTTCCTGCTCCTTCTAGGAGCTCCTCAACCCCAAGCCCACATTGGAGGCCCTTGCCCCTCACACATGTCCAACAGGCACCTCCTTCCCTCAAGTGCCACCCGCCCTGGCCTCCACCCCAGGGCCCCTGTCCTCCTGTTGTGCTAGCCCCACACTCGCCCTCCTTCCCACCCAACAAGAGCCTGTCCTGTTTCTCAGCAACACGAATTCCCGCCTACCCTTCCTGCACCGCCTGGACCAGCCCTGGTCTCCCTGCTGCTTCTTCCGAACCCCCAAACTTGCCTGTGCGAGCGAGCAGAATGGTCTCCTATGGGGTTGTGAGTTCCAGGCTCCAGGGTCAACTGGCCCTTCCTTTCTGGGCCTTTGCACAGCCCCCTGCACTGACCCCTTCCCCCCCTCACCCCCTCCCCCCCCAAGCTCCTGTGCAGGGGCCTATGCGTCAGGGGGCTCCCAGCCACCTCAAGGCTGGCTTCCTTCCTTTCTGTGAGCTCTGGACCAAGCCACCCCACTCACCCCACTCACCCCACTGCCCCAGGCTACCTTCCTAAAAGAAGAGGTCCCCACATGGCCTGCAGGCTGGCCGTGGGATGGGTAGGGACCTCTCGCCAACCGCACCAGTCGTGGCCCAGAACCCACCTCCGTCACGTCCTTGACGTTCACCATCTTCTTGGTCTGAGCCACGTGGCCCACAACCCCAATGTCCAGTGGGAAGACGATCTCAGAGTCGGGGGGCACCAGGCAGTCCTCTAGGACGCTGCCGGGCTGCACGCTGAAGAGGCGCGTGGCGAGCTCAGCCACGCCGTTGCGCTGGCGGTACATGAAGAGGCTGCAGCGGTCGGCATGCAGGATGGTGCAGAGGCGTCGCAGGATCTTGAAGACCACCCGCTCCATGTTCACACTCTCCTGCATGTCCTGCACCAGCTCAAAGAGGGCCGTGCTCTCCTCCACCTGGCACAGCTCGCGGAAACTGGCACAGTCCACTGGCTGTCCGTCCTCGTGGGCGCCAGCCACATTCTCGGGGCTCAGCTTCTTCCCAAAGTACTGGTCCGTGAAACTGGGGTTCTGGTCAAGGAACTGCTGCACCTGCTCCCCGCTGAGGCTCATGGTGTCCCACTGCCCGTCCAGGAGTCGTGGCCGGTCCCCAGGCACACACAGACTCCCAGCAAACACTGTCATCAGCAAAGCCTTTCTTAATGACGATTACTGAGGACTGGGAGGACGGCAGCTGACTCACCCACGCTTGCCCCCCTTGCCTTAGATCTTGGACTTGGTCTGATTTTCCCAGGGGTGGGTGATGATGGGAGCTCAGGGGCTTCTGCCTGTGGCAGGGGTCCTGGGAAGCTGGGGGTAGGGAGTTGGCTTCCACCGGAGGAGCCCCTCTCACCTAATCCTCCAGAGGGGTAATCCCACAAACACCGTGACCCTTTCTGCCTGGGGGATTGCCTGATAATTCTGGATGGTCCAACAGGCATCCCCACATCTCCTGGCCCTCATACCTGGGCTCAGGTGTGCTCGAGAGGTGGGGCACCAGCTCTCCCCCTCGGGGAACTGCAGCCCAGCCCCAGGCAGGGAGAGGAGGACCCTCCTATGGTGGCAGAGGTCAACAAATGCAGCTCCATGGCTCCGTCCTCATGGAAGGAAGTGAGGAGAAGGGAGGAAGATGGTCCGGCATCCAGTGTGGAGGTCGGGCCACAAGATGGGGGTTTGCAGAGACCTTCCTTTCTCTCTGATGGTGAGGAGGTGGCCTGGGCATTTGGTCTTGCAGGTGAGGGGTTTGCATGTGAGAATAGGTCACCTGGGTGCACAACAGAGCTTCTCTGTTAAGAGCTAGTGCCCTTAGAAGTCTCAGTGAACCCCCACCACACATCTTTTTCCCTGGCCCAATTCCTACTTACCGGGCAACCTTTATTCAAACTGCCAGACCCCCTCCTCACAGAGTCCACAACCACACTGCAGGTACTGCCATGTTCTATAGACGAGATTGTTCCTGGTTGTGCCTCAAACAGTGACCAGCGTGCCTGGACAGCAGGCAGAGCCTCTCTCCTTATCCACCTGCCTGGGTGCCATACAGGGATTAGCTTCTTTGTGGGCCATGACGTGACAAAAAGGTTGGATTCAAACTGGGTGGCTTGTTCTGTGTCTGTCTGACTCTCCAGCCGCTGGTGTGCAATGTGTGTGCATACGCATGAGTGTGTGTGTTCACGCTGGGTGTGCACGTACAGGTGTGTTGGGCGTGCGTGTGCCTGCGTGTGCATGTGGGCTGGGTGTGCACGTGCATGAGTGTGCATGCGTGTGCATGCCCAGGGACTGCTGGAAGGTTGGGGGTCGGAGCTACGTCCGCAGTGTGAACCAGCTGTGCACATCACCCAGCAGAATGTCTGTGAGGTACATCCATGAGGTATGCAGGTGGGCACCTGGCATTCTGGACTCATCTTCTGAGGCAGCAGCCACGTTTCTGTCCACAAAGGCAGAGGCAGAGGCAGAGGCAGAACAGTTTTGTTGGAAGAACTTTAGGCCTCTCCAAGCCAAGGACCAGGAATCACGAACCAGGGGCCTTGCCTGAGGAAAAGGCCTAAGGTTCCCTCATGTTACCTTCTAACCAGGATGCAGGATTTGTGTGTGCTTCTGAATTTCACTGCATTCAGCTGGCAAAAATGTGTTTGTGCATGTAGGAGCATGCATATATGCACACACGTGTGAGTGTGCATGCATGTGTGATTGTGGGGCCAGGGAACTTCTTGGGCTCAGACACGTTTTCTCAGCACAAGCCTTGGTTCCGGGGGACCTTCCGCGTGGGCTCTGGGCTGGCGCCTGGCAGCTGGGCTGGCCACAATGGGCCCAGCTGGCCGAGCGCCGGCGCAGGCCCTTGTGCTATGACATTCCTGCCTGTGCTTAGTCATGCAGCAGACTCCTTTCAGGGATCTGCTCTGAGCATCCCACTTTTCCTAAAAATAGTGAGTTCTGCCTGGGGACTGGAGGAGAGCAGGGAGGCAGGTGCTGTGGATGGGGTGCTGTGGTGCTCGGATTTGGGGCCAGGGTTGGGGGTCACCTTGCCCTGAATTCAGTCCCCAGACAGCTTCCAGAGCCTTCCAGCATATTGTCTCCAGACACTCAGAGCTGCAGTCCAAATTACGCCTGATGTGAGGGCCATGCCAATGAGGCAGCCATCTGGCCGAGAGGCCCAGGGCAGCAGAGTCTTTGTGGGGGACGCTTCCCAAATCCTTGGCTCGCCCCATCCTGAGGCTCATTCAGGGCTGCACAACCCTCCCTGCTTCTGCACCCTGCTCCTGCCAGCTGGCTCCTTCCTTGCAGGGCTGAGGAAATGGGGTGTAGATGTGCAGCTTACCTGCCTGGGGCAGGGGAGGCCCTTCGGTGAGGGATGCATCTATGTCTGGCAACTGCAGGGCTGGGTCACAGCAGTGGGAATGGCATGGCCATGGGCTCAGAGGCACGATGTACTCAGTGTTGGTGGAGCAGAGGGGGCTCCTGGCAGAACGGGTGGGGAGCAGAGGAGGGGCTGGCTGAGGAGCTCAGGGTGCTAGCCGGAAACCTGGGGTGGTGGGTTGGAGCAGAAGAGAGCCCAGAGCATAGGTGAGCCCTGCTCCAACCCTCCGTTACACAGTGTGCCCACCGCACCTTCCCTGTGGTACCTGTGTCACTTCACCTGTGGGTTTCCTTGCCCCTGAGCCTGCAGTATTCGCAGGTGTGGGAGCCCAGAGGCACCAGAAGTTAACGCCCCTGGAGAAGCCCTTGACCTGTGACTCACGGGGTTGTGTGTAAATACCCCAGCTGCCCACCTTGGGGGCCCCAGGACAACTGCTCAGCAACACATTCTGGGTTGGCTCCTGCCCTCCCTCGTCTCACTTTCTGACACACCCACTGATGTTACCTGGGGCCCCTGCACAGCCCTGAAAGGGTGGGCTCTTGATTCGGTTGGAGACAGACTCACGAGACAAGCCTATGAAATGCACCTGTGAGCTCACCTGGGAGGGGCGCTTGTGCCTGAGGTACACCTGTGGGCTGTGCCTGTGAGCACACCTTCGAGATGCTCTTGCGATGAATGTCTGCGAGGTGCATCTGCGAGGTATGCCTGAAGGTGAGCCTGAGAGGTAGCCGTCAGTGACGCCTGTGACGCACCCCTGCAGAGCACACCTGACAGGCGCACCGGTGAGGTATACCCGCGAGGCGGGCCTGTGGATATCCCTGTGATGTACACCCGTGTGCAAGGGCCCATCCGACACAACGGGTAAGCTCTCCACAAATGGACGTGGGAGATGTTCGAAGACAAACGGGCTCTCTAGGTTCCTGTTAATTTGACTTCATCATAATGTGGAATCTCAGAATTACCAAGTACACCCCGGGAGCCATTTATAACAAGGACTATGTCTTAAATAGCTATTCCATGAAGAGAACTCCAGTGTCTTGTCCCAAACCGTGGGGAGGATGCAATTTCATAAGGAGCATTATGCTTAAAATTAACCAGTCAAGAGGGATGGCAGGGATGTGAAAATCAGAGTTCACACTCAGAAATCTCATTACATTTCCAGTGCAGAAGTGTAATGCAGTGCAGAAATGGACATATCCACGAGGCACCTGAGTGTCCACAGGATGAGTTTTGCCAGAGGGACGACGGGAGATGTGTTACCTGGCTGGGTTGCCACTGGGAAAGGACAGATGGCAAAGTGGGGGGTGGGCTGAGCAGGGAGATGCCTCAGACTCTGACCCCAGGGTGGGGCCTGGGGCATCGTGTGAGCTGAAGGTGAGCTTGCACCCCAACCCTGGCTCTATCCTCTGCTCTCACCTGTTGCCTTACCTCAGGGCAGTGTCTCAGCTTCTCTGGGCTCCTGTTTGGCTCCTGGCCAACAGGATCTTGCCATGTTTTTTGGGGGGGGGTGAGAAAGGGTGATGTAAAGCATGTGGTATGGGCATCAGCACATCCTGTTGACAGCAGGCTGCAGAGTACCCCATCCCCGCATGAGCAGGGGGAGAAGGGTGGGATGGGGTGTGGGAGATGACGGAGGCCTAAGTGGAGGGGGTACAGAGGGAGACGTGCAAAGCTGGAGGCAGTGGGAGGAGGGGCTGTTGAAGCCACCTGTCTGGGGTACGTGCTGGCCTGGGGTGGGGGGCAAACCTTGGGTAAGAACCGTGTTGGACCATGGTGAGTGAATCCTTTAATGTACTGTTAATTCAATTTGCTAGTGTCTTGTTGAGAATTTTTGCATCCAGATACGTCAGGGATATTGGCCTATAATTCTCCTTTTTACTGGTCTTTGTCTGGTTTTGGAATCAAGGTAATGCTGGCTGTTTGGAAGCTTCTCTTCCATTTCTACTTTTTGGAACAGTTTGAGAGGAATAGGTATTATCTCTGCTTTAAATGTCTGGTAGAACTCCCCTAGGAAGCCATCTGGCCCTGGACTCTTGTTTGTTGGGAGATGTTTGGTAATTGATTCAATTTCTTTGCAGGTTACAGGTCTGTTCAAGTTTTCTGTTTCTTCTCGTTTAAGTTTCGGTAGTGTGTGAATTTCTAGAAATTTGTCCATTTCTTCCAGATTGCCCAGTTCATTGGCATGTAATTTTTCATAGTATTCTCTTATAATTGCTTGAATTTCTGTGGTGTCGGTTGTGATCTCTCCTCTTTCATTCGTGATTTTGTCTACTTGGGTCCTCTCTCTTTTCTTTTTGATAAGTCTGGCTAGGGGGTTATCAATTTTGTTTATTCTTTCAAAAAACCAGCTTTTAATTTCATTGATCTGTTTGCTGTTTTTGTTGTTGTTGTTTCTATATCATTTATTTCTGCTTTAATCTTTATTATTCCCCTTCTGCTGGCTTTAGACTTTATTTGCTGCTCATTTTCTAGCTTCTTCATGTGTAAGGTTAGGATGGTTTTGTATTTGGGACCTTCCTTGCTTCTTGAGATAGGCCTGAATTGCAATGTATTTTCCTCTTAGGACAGCCTTTGCTTCATCCCAAAGGGTTTGGGCCATCGTGTTTTCATTTTCATTGGCTTCATGTATTTTATTTCTCCCTTAATCTCTTGGTTAACCTGTTCATTGTTTAGTAGGATGTTCTTTAACCTCCATGTATTTGAGGACTTTCTAAATTTTTTCTTGTGGTTGACTTCAAGCTTCATAGCACTGGATCTGAAAATACTCATGGTGTGATCTTAATCTTTTTGT